ACATTGCTCACAGCATCTACAAAATGCCTGATGTCTTCCCCTTTTCAAATGTTAATCACTGGGCAACACAAAGATTTGAACCTTCAAACTGACCTCCTGCCCAAAGAGAATTTGAAAGGATTTTTGTAAGAAGGAAGCAAAGAAACACAAAAGGGTTATTTAGGACCAATGCACACAGCCACATAAATACAGAAGTATCTGGATTTTTGAAGCAAATCCACACTCCAAAAGGTGGGAGGATGGCCTACAACAACAGTGATTTGTCCCATCAATGATGCTTGGAAAGTTTTAAGAGGATAATCAGGAATCCATAAAGCTACTCTGTCCCACTGGAGCAAAACATGCCTGTCCTGGAGGACTGGACCTCATACAAAGTCTCACCAGCATTTGAGTTGTGGTGGTGTAGAATCACAATTTCATTTTTATTGCTGCAAGACCATTTTGAAAGACGCATGTGTGAATGAATGAGGAGATAAATTCATAGAATCAGTTGACAAAGCATGCACGTTTTAAATGCACAGCTGAAAACCAGGATGGAAAAAAAACAAAGGGAAAATTAAGCCAGACCTTGGTAAGAAGATACAGTAGCTTGTCAGGAGAAGCAAATCCAAACAAGCAGTAACAAAGGGGACATCTGCCCAGTAATGAGGACACTCTCCACACAATGGCATGGAATAAAATGCTGCATTTACTGACAGGACAAGGAAAAGGGTGGAAAATCACCACAAGTTGCTGGCTGGATCCTAATTAGTGGTCAGCCCCAGATTAAAGTGATTCAGGAGACAGGGTGCGATTTAGACAGAGTAGGGAGGAATGCCCCCCCCCCTTAAGCTTCAGACCACACACAATCATACTTCATGAACACCTGTCCTTGGTCTATCAGGCGTGCTGAGTGCTACCTCACTGAAATCTGAGAACCTCTTTTATGTGACAATAATTTTCAGCAGGCTGGACTTTGGGAAGGGATGAGGGAATAGTGAGAGGAAGGTGGACAAAATTGTGGTGGCAAAGAAAGATGGAAGTTTGTTACCTATACACTCCATCATTTGTCCAAGGAGGCGTACATACGGTAGGTCTCCACGTCTACACTCTGTCCTCACAGGTCTGTGAGGTAGGTAAGTCTGAAAGTCTGAAGTCCTGTTCCAGAAGACTTTTAATTGAAATAATATTAGCTGTGGGTCCGATGGCAATTTTTATATATATTTTGTGTGTTGTGTTTAGTCGTTTAGTCGTGTCCGACTCTTCGTGACCCCATGGACCAGAGCACGCCAGGCCCTCCTGTCTTCTACTGCCTCCCGGAGTTGTGTCAGGTTCATGTTGGTTGCTTCGCAGACACTGTCCAGCCATCTAAATAAATAAAGAAAGAAAGAAAGAAAGAAAGAAAGAAAGAAAGAAAGAAAGAAAGAAAGAAAGAAAGAAAGAAAGAAAGAAAGAAAGAAAGAAAGAAAGAAAGAAAGAAAGAAAGAAAGAAAGGAGTAGAACTGATCCCATGCCCCTCAGTGTCACTCTATGGCAGAGGAGGGATTTGAAAAGTCAAAGAATAAAAGGTGTCCCAACACACAGCTTGATCCTTGAAGCAGCGTGGGCAAAGTGAGACCCTCCAGACATTGCTAGACTACAACTCCCAACATTTCTCACCACCGGTTATGAGAGCTGGGGCTGATGGGAGTTACAGTCCAACAACCTTAGGAGCAGGACTGTATGTGCTCACCCCTGCTGTAAATAATTCTGGCAGAATATATGGAAGAAGTTTTACTAGCAGCTGATTTCAAAACATGGAGCAATATCAACAGAAGTTCTTCCAAGCCAAACAAGTTAACTTCATTATTTCTAATCCAATGCACTGCAAATCAGTTGCAGTTGGACATTCAGAAGATACTGTACTGTGTGACACTTGTGAACAGAAGCAGGAGAGGAAATCAACTAATGCTCATGAGCTGGAGCTTTCCTCCTGGTATAGTGTTAGCATGGTGCATCTCTAGGACAACCACTCTGCTGTGGTCAAAAAGAAGAATGAATTGCTCATCCAGGTGGAACAAGAACAGACTGTGCGCAGATAGCTGATTTGTCTCCTGAAATACTGTATTACAAAGCAGGTACAAATGTAGAAAGCAGTGGGCTTAGAGTGGGTACAATAATCACCTGATCCAAGGCCACGACGTGATGTAAATTTCAAAGGCTGCACTTGAAACACAGCCTATAAGGTATCTGGGACGATTTATAATTGGGATCCAGAGAACCTAGTAAATGAGGAACTGTGATTTAGAGGTACAGCTCAAGTATGGTATGCAGAAAGTATTAGATTCAATCCCCCCCTTCTTTAAATAATGTGAAGAACATCTGCTGGAGGAAATAAAAGAGCTGCTACCAGTCAGAGAGAAGAATACTGAATAGGTAATACAAGGCAGTTCCCTATACTTCCCTTGAAGTAGAATACATACCATCACTATCATTGGTAGCACGAGCAGATAGACAGGAAACAGTGGAGACGGGACATTATTTTTTCGGACTACAAGTCTCAAAACCTGACAGCCAGTGGGGCTACTGGCCAGGATGGCTGGACAGGTTCAGGAGTTATAATTCAAGAAAGTAATTTTTCCAAGCTCTAGCATAGCATATAGCTTGGCTGACAGCTGTAAATATAAGGAAGGTCACAACCTTGTAAAGAGACGAAATGAAGTGTGATGAGGATTTCCATATGCTGCAGGCTTTTTAGATGACTTTAAGCTGATCTCAGGTTCCAAATGGCTGTTTAGGACTGAAAAAGTTGGACTGCTCTGCTACAGTACTTGGAGTCAGGAACAGACAATCCCAAAGGTCAAAGTCAGTTTGGTTGGTGTGATAAAAGGGGGGCAGCCACTGGGCTTTCAAAAAGGAATAAATCACATGATTACATCTGTCTGCAGCAGCTTCTGCTACAGACTGTTGTTGATACCTGGGAACTTAAGAGACTCTGTACTGGAACTAAAATGAAAAACAGAGCAGTTTCCTTGCAGGATTGCTTTGGTGCTGTGCAAATTATTATTATTTCACACTATTCATGGAGACATAACATCTTCCTCATTTTATAAAGGGACTTAAATACCATGCAAAAAAATCATACAATACAATCCAAAGGCAATGAGAGATTATACCTTTATGAGACCACTAAAAAAAAAAATCACAAACATAAAGATAGCTTTCTACCCCATCCACGTCTTCATCCAGCTGGGCGTCAGTAGGGCCAAGGACAGTGCAGAAAAACACAACAGTTTAAAATTCATGGCCAGATCTACATGCCAGTTTGTTGTTGTTGTTGTGACTTACATTTCACACAGCCTGAACACAACAGTTTAAAATTCATGGCCAGATTTACGTGCCAGTTTTTTTGTTGTTGTTGTTGTTCTGACTTACTTTTCACACAGCCTGTTAGCTATCTAAGTTTAAGGAACCCTGCTTCCAGTTTAGGAAGGTGCAAATCATGGTCGGGTAAACTTGAGATCTGACTTTCTTGCACATCTCTCTTTAAAAAAAAGAAGTCAACCACTGGGATCTAGTGAGATCACCTAGTGACTTCCCCAAAGGTATTTCTCATCCAGTACCCTCTGTCTCACTTTCTCCATGGAGCTAAACCTTTCCAAGTAAACTGATGATTCACTCTTTGTCCTGTAGGTTTTTGGGTGCTGTACTCCTTGATTCCCACTCGGTTCATATCCATGGCCTGTTCCAATCGAAATGCATGATGGCATCTTGAAGCTGTTGGATGATGCACAAAGGGCCCTACCTCGATCTATAATAAGGCTATAAAGTGACATTTGTAAGGCTAACATTGTGGAGGAAGGTCAGCAGACAGATCAACACAGAGCGGATGACCACAAGAGCAGATTAAACTGGCCCACCTCGCCTCCTTTATTAGAATCCGAACAAGTCAGATGTAGCCCTGAGATCTGATCCCCCCCCCCCGTGTCCACCCCACTGGAATGTAGTCTTCAGTATAAATTGATGGCAAACCTCCTTCCCTGCCAGGAGAAATCTAATCTTCCCATTCAGAGCTCTACCTGCGGAACTCAAATATTTGAAGCATTCCTTCCTCCAGCAACCTTGGGAGGGAAGGATAAGTAAAGAGGGGGAAGGGGGTGGAGTGGGGAGGGCGACGTGGAATTATGTAAGAGAGAGGCTAAAAATGCTGAACACCAGTTATTAAAAATACCAGCCCTGCAGGGAAAGACATGAGAATCACTCCCTCAGCAGGAAAACAAAGCTCAGAGCGAAGGTTACTTACCAGGGGGGACGGGGGCAACCTTGGAATCACAACAACACACATTTCAGCGCTATCATTTTTCATCCCCTGTGCATAAGATCAGAAAGAGAAGAGGGGCGGACAGGGGGGAGTAAAATCTCGGGAGATTGGCCACGTTTTCCCTTTGCCTCAGGGAAAAATTGGAGAGAGTCTTTAGTATTATTATTGTTGTTGTTGTTTAATTTTTAAATTGCACTCAAGAGGCTGCTAAGAGAGGGAATGCAGAGGGGAACCTGCGCGGGCTGGGGGAAACATAAATTCATCTCTACGAGCGGCGCAGGAAAGGGGGAAAAAGAGGAATCCTTCACCCAAGTAAAGTTTGAAAAGGAGACGCTGTGCACCAAACCAGACGATCAACTTGAACTGAAAGTTCTTTTAAAACCCTACAGCAAGTAACAGCCGCCCGGGACGCCCTCCGATCTCCAGCTCCAAAGCTCGGAAGAGAGAGAGAGAGAAACAGACAAACCCGGGTTGAGCGGACTTCGGGAAAAGAGTTTCAAATCCTACAACCCGAGAGACGGAGAAGTGACCAAATAAGGAGAGTAAAGGAGCGGCGGCGAGCTTGTTGGTGGGATGGGATGGGGGGGAAGAGAGAGAGAGAACAAACAAGAAAACCACTCTTTTTCTGGCCGCAAAGAACAACTCCAAAGGATTCCTTCTCCGGGCCCCCCTCCAGCTCGGGCAAATACAGTAAATCCCTTCTGTTGCAGCGCTCACTCACCTCATGAGGAAGATCCGGGGTGGGGGTGGGGGTGGGCACTGAGCAAAGCGGGCGACCCCAACGCCGAGGGGGTGGCGGTGGTGGCCGGGGGTGCGCCCTCCCCTCCGTGCTCGTCCTTCCCCCACCGGCCAAGGCTGGGGCGCGAAGTCGTCTCGGGAGCTCCAGGGAGGCTCTCCGCCGCCGCCGCCGCCGCCTCGCACCGGGGAAAAACACCGAAGCTTGGGCTCCCTTCCCGGGCTCCCGCACCGAGGGCTCTGTCTGTGGCGCGCGAGGGAAGGGAGGGAGTGCGCGTGGGGATGTGTGTGTGTGCGCGCACCAAGTCTACGAACTCCGGCGGAGGGAAGCTGCCCGCCGCCGCCGCCGCGTCCCCTGCTCCGCGCT